CTCTCTCTCTCTCTCTCTCTCTCTCTCTCTCTCTCTCTCTCTCTCTCGCTCGCTCGCTCGCTTTCTATCACATACACGCACGTTTTCGCTAATATATTTACTCGTATATCGTCGCTTAATTTATTTAAACGATCAATTTGTTATCGAAATCTTTCTCGAATGGAATCAGTTGACACCGATTTCTATTTTGCGAAAACGCACCTTCTACCTTGCAGTATTCTTTCCCTCCGGTGATTTAAACTTGACTTGTAAATTTCTAACTATTTGAACTGTTGTTTTTCCCCCGCTTACTTTCAATGGCATTCAATCACGTTTCGATTAACATTTAATTACAGCGACTAATCGAATGATTACAATACTCTGTTCCACGATTTATAGTAGTTTTACCTATTCGTAGCGAAACGTTGTTCCGCGAAGTGTACTGCACGGTAGAGATAGGCAAAATTATTACTTGGATAAAAATGTCGAATGACGAATATTTTCGAATGAGAATGTCTTCTATGGAAAAGTAAACGGTAAGGGTGTGCGGGATTCCCGAAAATATTCGGGATTCTCGAGAATGTACGGGATCTCGAAAATGTTCGGGATTCCCGACAATGTACAGAATAGAATATCTGGGATTTCCGAAAGTGTTGTTACTCTTGAAAATTTCAGCAATCCGAATGTACGGGATTTCGAAATTCCCGGATGTATTCGGGATTTTGAAGTTTTCGGGATTCCATCCCGATCCCGGGAGGAATTCCCGTCCCGACCGGGATATCCCGCACACCCCTAGTAAACGGTATTCCGTTACTTGTTAAACAACAGTTAACCTTTTCAAGGACGCTGGTGCATATGTGTACGTTTAGTTTTTCTTAAATTCAAGCGACAGCAATGTTTAATCTGTTGGAGAACTATTCAGTACAGAATCTATCAACAACGATAAACAAAGTCGTCGTTTGGCAGCGCCGATAGCGTTTTATTCTACTTGATAGTCACTGCTTTGAAAATACAAATGTTTACGTCTGATGTGTCAAGTTTTTATGCTTCGTGTGTATCTTTATTGTTCTAAAAATTTGTTTAATTACTAAATAGCTATCGAAATAAAATTATAGAAACATAATCAAACAAAGAATTAAGTCAATTCTTGTTCACTTTAAACAATTCGTCCCTGAAAAGGTTACGATTTGAATTATAGAATTAAACACTTTGTAAAGAACAAATAAATATTGAAGTGTTTAGTCGAATAGATCGTTATGCGGTGCTTTTATTCGTTTATAAACTATCGTTTGAATAAAATTTTGCTCACCTCTGCTGCACGGCGCTAGAAAGATTGCCCCTGGACGATATTCAAGTTCCGAGAGAAACCGCCTTTTTGGAAATATGATGCGTTTTTATCGTAGTAATGCTATTAATGATTAATGTATGTGGTACAAAATCTTGACCAATAGCGAAATAACCTTTTCCAAAAATTCTAATCACCGAATTTCAATACTATCCAAGGACAAATCTCTGCAGTTCCTCAGTACAGATAGTGTCTCTTATTCTCTAGAGAATTCCAGATGCGCGCGCCTGTATCTGTTTAACTATACAATCGTCTCCCGATCTTTCATGAAAATCACAAGTAAAACGTCGAGAAACAGCTACCATTCTTCTGCAACTCCTATTTAACCTACGGTAAAACTCTGATGACTTTTCTGCCCTAAGTAAATTAGCTCGTTGATCAATGACTAACTTGTCGGTTCTCTATTAATCGATTAATTAACAATAATTAAAGTCCTTCAAGGTGTTAAATACTTGTTAATTATTCATTCTTAGTGCAACCACCCATCACAAAGGTTTCTGTCTTTCGTTACCTTTAATTACTTTTATTATTATTATTATTATTATTATTATTATTATTATTATTATTATTGCTATTATTTACAAATTCTTTAGTCGTAGAAAATATAATTGGGGAGAAATAGAGAATGCTAATAATGATAAATATCGTTCCGCGAATAAATTTGTTTAAAAACAATTCACATAAGCTTTGGTTCGGGTGTACGATAACAGATTAATTAACTTGGTGCAAAATGCGTTTAAATTTACTAGCGATTTGGACAAATTTTATATAGTAATCCTTCGTTGAATGATCTCTACTGAAAACTGGAGAGACTGATGCCTATCAAAGTTAGGTGTTTTCTTTTCATTTTTGAAAATGTGCTATTATTTTGGCGATCACATTTTACATGTTTTATTAATAAATATTGTATAAACCCATATTAAACTACGACTTTTGTAATAACAAATTATATTGTTGGAAGGTTGCTTTGGTACCACTTGTTAAATT